TTACATATCCGTGAGGTATCGCAAGAGCTGTGGCAAGATCGAGGAATTCGAATCGAGAAGACGTTTGGTCCGCAAGCGGGCGGAGCGAGTGGGTAATATTGATGTTTTGCGAGGGTGAGTCGTATTGTTTTCTGATAAACCAAGTCGGCTTTAGTTGTACAAGTACAGTCAATCCAATTTCCGAATGTTCCTTTGAACTGGGTGTGCCTTTCTGTGCACTCTCCGGTTCCCTTTCACTTCTCAATTCTTCGCACCTTTTTTGCCCCCGACTGTTTGCATCCTATCCTCTTCCTTATGCACGCGTAGGAATCTGTCTTGAAGCCTCCCCTTCCTTTGGATTGGCAGATTGCTTGCAGATTTCTGCTAAGCAGAAGAAGGAAGCAACCTCCGTTAGGCGCCGTCTCGTGCGTAATGCAACCGCAACAGACCAGTCCAGCTATTTCCGGCGACAGTGCTGCGGCACGCCCTCTACGCCCTCTCCTCCCTGCAGCCTCACCGAGAGTAGAGGCTCCACCATCGCAACCGAAGCGAGCTCGCGTCTCTCTAGCTTGTGCAGCCTGCAGAAGTCGTAAAACCAAGGTACCGACAGACCAAGTACATTGCATGTATATAAAGCAACATCAGCAAAGTAGCCTTCTGATCTTTTGAACCCATAGTGTAACGGCGACCGTCCCATTTGCAGTGAATGCACGTCCCGCGATTCCGTGTGCCAGTACACGGAAACAGAGAACACTCAGTCGAAACGTAAACATCAAGACCTGGAAGAGTTGTTCGAGATGCTCAAGTCGCTGCCGGATGAGGAAGCGAGTGAGATCCTGGCGAGAATCAGAGCTGGTGTGGATCCGAGAGACATTGTTGATAGCGTGAAGCATGGTAATATGCTTGTGCAGTTTGCTGCGACGTTTGGAGAAAGTAGGGGTAGTGTGAGCAGTGAGGTTGATGGAGCTAGTGTGGGCGGAAGTGGAGATTTTTCGGGCGAAATGCAGGAGCCGGGGATGGATGCGGACTCACCATCCAAGCAGAATAGCTGACGAACTGAATCAAAGATACCTGGCATGCGTCGGCATCGACGTGGCGGGTCCATTCCTGGCTGGCCAGGCGTATGTCAGACCTGCGAAATGGCCCTTTTCCAAGTCTATCCCGAGCCTTCGATGCACACCTGATGCATCTATATTCATCGCACGCAGTCGTACAATCATGCGGTGAGATCGTCTTGGTCTGTGTGTCGAAACAGATGGTCCCTGAGTTGTGCCCAAACGTACCTCTGGGATGAATTGCCGGACGTTTGTACGTATGATATCATGTTCTTTCTAAAGAGGTTGATTTCCCATTCATCTTCCGTCCATGTCCAGACGTCATCCTCAAACAATACCTTGAGATCGACCTCTTCGCTATGATACTCGACTTTGACTACGAAACCTTTGGCTCTCAGCCCATGGTAGGTGCGAGCGACAAGTTTCAGGAACAGTGAACCATGATCCCAGCCCGGGCCCAAGTCTTCTTCTTGTCTTATAGCCAAGGTAACAACTCTAGCTCGGGTCTGCATATGGCGACGGTGTTCGTTGTGAGTAGTAACACGTTCAGTGTGTGAAATGTCCAGCAAAGCCGTGACACCATCATTGATCTCTGAAAGATAGTCTTCTCGTGTATACGCCGTTGCATCCGCCGTGCGCGAGCCTTGATCGTGTGTCTTGCTCTCCTGAATCTCGGAGAATTCGCTGTCAGTCAGCGCGTCACACTGGAAGGTCACACGCAGATCCAAATTCCTTGCCAACTCTTCCATGGTAAATCCAACACCAAATGCGTCTCTCCTCACAAAGTCCGCCACGGAAGTGTCGAGCAATAGGCATTCAGCCACGGGATCCTTGTCGTCAATTGGGCGCAGGTCTTTGCCAACGACATCTCGGAATAGCTTGAGAGCCTCTTTAGCGAACACCAGTCCTACGAAAGTCTTGTCGATGAAATGAGGTGGCCGAAGGTTCATGTACAGCATTGATAACCCTGCTGGTGTGTCTGGATCGTGATCTACGCTGAACCAAGGCTCATGGAATAGTTCCCACCAACAGATTACACTGCGAGTCGGATCGTGTTTCTCGTCAGGTTGCCATAACTGCGTGTAGATGTTATCCCGCAGCTCTCGCGGTAAGTTCAAAACACGTGCGACGACGTCCATGTTTGCAGCATTCGTGTAGCGAATAATTGCTGCATGTAAAACATCGGTCAAGTGGTCATAGCGACGCAGCCTCTCTTCCACGCCATCCTCGGATGATGCGGTACTCCGGAGGTGAAGTTTACAGTTGAGGCTAGCTCTATGGCTGTAATTAACTTTGGAAGCTGACGGCTGTCGCAGCACTTACTGCTTGAGCTCGCGTTCAGCGCAGTCTCGCGCTTGCTCGAATTGCCGATACATTGTTGGCGCGTCTGTATTATAAAGAACCATACCTAGGTAGACCCAGACGTTGGCGAGACGGTTGCGCAGATGATGTAGAGGCAAGGGCAGTCGTTACGAGGCGAGGTACGATTCGTTAGCCACGCCTGCGGGTGACTCATCAAAAGGCGTCCATCCGCAGTAGATATCGACTACAAGGGTACAAGGCTCACTCTTCATTCGTACACGTCCCTGGATGTCGCCTATCACGACCGAAGCTCTGGATAATAGCTGTAGGCCTCGGGTACAGGTGGACGTTGCATCGTCTCGACGCCCCGTGATTCCAGGGCTCATTCCGCGTCTAGGACAGGGGATAGTCCCTTGAGATAATTATTCCCAATATAGTGAAGTTGCTTCCAGTTGTCAATCAGGCGTGGAGGCTACGTGATGTTGCTAGGACTTGAGTGTCCGACCTTCAGTCGCGGTCCTATCGATAAGCAACTTTAATCGCTTCCCACCCAAACACCTAAGCAACGTGCCCTGCAGACGGCTTGGTGATCGCATCCCACGATATCACCACCTGCGCCATGAAGCCTGGCAACCTGCCAATGCGCACACAGTCGCGGCCAGTATGTCAGTTGTGTGACTACATACTGCAGAAGCCTGCAAGCCGCCGCGCATTCCTCTCCGCATCCTCCCTCCGAACACCCTCGATACGGCGGCAAAACGCGCGAACCACGACTCTGACACCCCGTATATTGGTACGAAGCATCGCGACAACACCTCGGACGGCAGCAGCGATTGACACGCGCGAAGATGGCGGCCTACATACGTCGGACAGAATTGCGGCGTTGAAGAGTCACCTTGCCCAAGTGGAGGCGCGAATACAGGAAATATTCAATTCACCCAAGGTCGAGAAGGAGCACGTTATAATGGAAGCGTTTGAAGGACTGGACAGCATTGCGCAAGAAGCCATTGCCATACGCGCACGCCAGCCTCAACTACAGAAGGCGGCAATAAGGCAGAGCTCAGCGGGCGCCATACTCTCTGGACTGGACGGAGACGAGACGGCGGAGACGGCGAAAAGAAAGAGCTCGAAAATGCTGGGATTGGATGCCCTGCCCTCGCCGTCGTATCTTTCGAAGCTCGCCGAGCGTCTCCTAAAGCACGAGAAAGTCTTCCTATCACCGAACGTCCTCGCTATATACATCCACCTACAGCGACTACTTGCCCGACCGAAGACTATTCCCGAGGCACTCTACCTCTACGCGAACAAGCCGGTCCCAGTTGAAGGCTCGTCGCCACCCAAGTTCTCCAAGCCCTCGCCCAAGTCGGCTAAGCAGGTCATTCCAGCTGATCTCGCTGACGAAGCGCTCACGGCCGCCATCGACGCGAAAGACCTAGCACTGGCCCTCGATGTCGTCGATCACACCTACCGCGCTCCCGCATGGCGGCGGCATCGCATACTCACAAAGATGGGCTTACCGGGGGTGCTCGTCGGCCTCACCCCACTCGCTCTCTACATGATCGCCCAGGAACTCTCCGTCTACAGCGGCTTCATCGACCCGTGGACCTTCAAGCTCTACGCCTTCATGGGCATGAGCACGTATGTCTTGTGCACCGGCACGCTCGGATTCGTCGCTCTTACAACATACAACGATCACCACGACCGAGTGGTCTGGAGGCCTGGTGTCCCGCTGCTGGATCGATACATAAGGGAAGATGAGCGGGCGGCATTGGATCGTATTGCATGCGCATGGGGTTTCAAGGAAGTGTGGAGACGGGGTGATGAGGAGGGTGATGATTGGGAGGGGTTGAGACAGTTGGTCTTGCTCCGGGGTATGGTGCTCGATAAGCCGGATCTGATGCCTGGTATGAATCCTGGAAGATAGTGGAAGTATGTATCAAAGCAATGGACACGTATTACATTCTACCAGAATACACGCACTGAAATATCGAGTTCTGTGTACTAGGGGAGGGCTAGCAGAATACACGTCTACGGGAAATGCAAAAAGCTAGTTCTCAACACCGAACAGACCTGGAATGTATTACAGGGCTTACGTTGCTATAATCGGGATCTTTCAAACTATAAGAGATGTTCTCCTTGCGGGATGTCTCTTCCATGTGCAAAAAAAATCGGTTTGTTGCGACACCTGTGTGATTCGAACACACGCTCCCGAAGGAACTGGCTAACTTTCCGGTGAAGGACTAGCAGGCCAGCGCGTTAACCACTCCCTAGAATTTGGATTAGTAAGCGTTGATGGCAGAGGGACTGGAGGAGGTCGTACGCCAAAGTGCCGGAAAATCATGTATTTTACTGATTGATGCAAGCTCGACTAAATGGAAACAATATATACTGCCAACTAAGCAGAAAAAACATGAACAGCTTCCAGACAACCGTTCACCAGAGCGGTGGATGATTCAGTGGGCTCAGGCAACAGCTCAGCGCATGGCGGGGTAGCTCCGTTCTTGTGCCCCACCAGATGCGGTCATGGTCCACACAGACTTACGCCGCAACTTTACTCACCAAACCTTACACACCCCAATTTCACAGCTCGACTGACGTCCCGGCTACTGCCTGCGAACCCAATAAACCCTCAGACCACGCGCTACTCTCGAACCACCTCCCGCCATGTCCGCCGACGCCGCCCCCATAACCTTCACGCGCTTCTCCAAAGCCCTCGAAGACCTCTCCGTCGAATCGCTCTACGCCAAGTACTCCGAGCTCACCAACCAACTCACACACCTCGAATCGAGCAACAAGCAGCTCGAGGAGTTTGCGCGCGAAAACGACGACCGCGACTGCTACGAGGCGCTGATGGAGAACAAACAGGTTATGAAGAGGTTCGAGGAGCGGAGGGAGGCGATCAAGAATGAGGTCAAGGATGTGAGGGGTCTGCCGTGGAGGCCGCGGGAGGAGGAGAAGGTAGATGGTGCTGCGACGAACGGCAGTGTGGCTCCGGCGACGAATGGTACCGCGGCTGAAGAACAGAGGAATGGTGATGCGCCGGCGCCTGAGGGTGACGATGGCGTCTATCTTTGAGGCGTTCACGACACGGATGCGATACACAGGACACGTGCGGGGTACTCAGCCGAGGCGCGCAGACGCGCGTGCGAGTGTTTGTGTGGCAAGAGCAAGTTGCCTGAGTGGATATATACATTGAGTGTTACATGCGAGTGCGTATATCTACTTCCACTGCGCTTCTTCAACTGACAGATTTGTAGTATACGGCCCTCCAACTACTACATCTTCGAAACACATTGCGTGAACGGTTCTGATCACATTACATCATGGATGAAGACGTGTATGGCTTCATAAAAACCCCGGCTTCATCCATATAGCCAGCACTCAGACATCTGAGTTTTGAGGGACCTCGACTCATCCAGGAACAAGGCCGGGGTACTAGAGGAGCACTTTCCGTCGATGCTAGTGGAGCTGCAGGATTTAGGCGGTAGCAGCACCTTCTGCGATCCTGCCATCTTTCCAACACAGTGTAATTGTTACCGGCAGTTTCGAATTCCAGTGAGAGGGGCTCATCATGAGGCTAAATAGATGGGTATGCGATGCCTGTAATGTCAAACCATTATACATCTGCTGATACAACGACCTTCCCAATCACAACATCATAAGTCTTAGCAATCGACAGCTTGCAGTGTGAGAAGTAAGATGAAGGAATGCGCAACGTTCGCTACTTCCTCAGCGGACGCATTCCGAATAGGGAAGTGGCTGAGTCAGCACTCGCTTCGTCTACAACTCAGACAGCAGCTTGCACTCCTTCCTCATCTCAATTATGCCACCCACATATACTGTACAATTGACGTCTCAGCCAGAATATGCAGTACTCATAGCCAACCGGCTCGTTGGTTTGCCTGCACGAACTCACGACGGCTAAATATTCCTTGTCCTTGTATCCCGTACCTACAAACCCTAGGCCAATATGGACATTTTGCCATCTCGTCGGACAGCGAATGCACCGAGGAATTAATCTCGCTGTCTGCTTTACGAGGAGTCTTAGCAGACGTGTCAAGTCAGCCAACCCACAACACGATTGAGTCTCAGTATGGACGCAACGGGCGGCGTTGAATATTCCGTCTCTGGGCAAGACGCCACATATCATCAAAACCACGCGACTGCCGACAACTATATTACTTCCCCACGGGGCATTTAAGCGCCAGAACCATGCTAACATCCGTCTTGGGAACGTTTCCTGCAGCCACGGGAGATGCCTAGTGTCTTGGGATGCCCAGCTTCCTACACGGCTCCTACAGGCTTGGTATGGGGTACAGTGGATTCGGAAGGTACCCATAAGATAGGCTCCGTGCTTCCGAATGTACGATGACATCCGCCGAGTTGTGTGTCAAGGTACAGTCAAGATACAGTAAGATACCGCGCAGAGAGATACTGTCGCAAGAGTTCGCCATAACTGTCAACACGGTAAGGGGCTCACTTGCTCAATATACAGCCCTAGTCCTCGTGCCGACCCTTGCGCTCAGCTTACGACTTGTACTACTAGTCCACATTGAGTCGGTCATCTGGTCGGCTTTGATTCCTCGGCAACGTTCTAAGTGACTTGGCTGCCAGCACTGTCGGTGGCGCCACGCACCACCGCTGTTCATACTCACGGGCAAAGAAATTCCACGAGTCGACTCAACTACCGACCCTACCGCCTCGTCTTCATACGAATCTTGGAATGATCTCAGTAGCGTAGGTGGTAGGTGTACTCGGCGACCACGTCCTCTCCATCTAGAACGCACTCCGTACAATCTTACAGCAGACTCATGGTCTATGCGCGACCGGAATGAACTGCTTCGAGATCACTCACCGACTCCAGGGCGGTGCAAAAGCGGTTGTTATCTTCCCCTGTGCTACGCGCAGTTGAAACGAAACAAAGATCCACATCCATTGACGTCGTCTCAATGTCAGGACGGTGGGTATCAATGCGCCGCAGCATAAGCATTGCCAACAACTTCAACCTCGCTAAGATCCCGTCTGAGCTGCCTGTAATCGTTCAAACGCTGGCCTGACCACCACCAGCATTGTTGCGCCACCGACATTTCTGCACCTGCTTCTAGATTCCGCCCACCGGGTGTTTCACGGTGTTTTGACATCTGGTCACAGCGGGCACTAAACCTTGAGTGGCGCGATTAGTGGATTCTGGTAAACACCCGGTGGCAGTTTCTGTATCACAAAGCTAACTACCACTCACATTTGTGGGAATACCGCCGAGATTTTGTTTCCAGCAATCAACACAGCTGTCCACCCTCTGTCGCGTCTAAACATTGAAACAAAATGGTTGCATGGCCTTGTTACTACCAATTGCAGAGACCAAAAGACGTCAAAATAGAGCCTTCAGCCCTAGCGATCAGACCGTTAGTTGCCGCATAAGCCTGCATGGAAATCAAGCATTACCCACCACGACTTGGCGCCTTCCCCAACCGGGCTTCTGAACGGCATGGCATCCCTTTGCCGGGTAATCCCCGCATTACGGAGAATTGGTGTCCGCGCAGGTACGCCAATTCCCTTGAAACACCATGTCATTAATATACCCACAACAACGGAACAATATACTACGCCGCAAACAGACCCACGGTATGGAGATCAATTTCCAGCGCCGGGATGAGCTATGACCGAGGCCAATGTGATCGGTCGAGACAATGAGGTGGTCTGCGTAGTGGAGACGATGTGACAGGCTGTGTACGTTGTGGGTTGGTAGGTCCGACATCAGGCTTGGAGGTATAAGTATCCTGTTGCTGTCCGTCTGTAAGGCCCCACCACACAACCAAGTCTCTCATTCACTCACTCAACAGTCTCTCCACACATCAGCAACCATGCGTTTCACTCCTACCGACCTCAGCCTTCCCGCTGTCGCAGTCGCCTTCTTGGGCGCAACTGCTTCAGCCCAGACTTGCCAGCTTCCCACCAGCTACAAGTGGACTTCATCCAACGCTCTTGCCCAGCCCAAGGCCGGATGGGCCAACCTCAAGGACTTCACCACCCAGATGGTCAACGGCAAGCACCTCGTCTACGCCACCAACCACGACACCGGCTCCAAGTACGGCTCCATGAACTTCGGCGTCGTCTCCAACTTCAACGAGCTCGCATCTGCTCCCCAGAACGCCATGAGCCAGGGCCTCGTCGCACCCACTCTCTTCTACTTCAAGCCCAAGAGCACCTGGGTCATTGCCTACCAGTGGGGACCTACCGCTTTCTCCTACAAGACCTCCTCCGACCCCACCAACGCCAACGGCTGGAGTGCGGCCAAGCCCCTCTTCTCTGGAACCATCACTGGCTCCAGCACTGGTCCCATTGACCAGACCCTGATCGGTGACGGTACCAACATGTACCTGTTCTTCGCCGGTGACAACGGCAAGATCTACCGCTCCAGCATGCCCCAGGGCAACTTCCCCGGCAACTTCGGCACTGCCTCCACCGTCGTCATGAGCGACACCCAGAACAACCTCTTCGAGGCTGTCCAGGTCTACACCGTCAAGGGCGGAACCTCCAAGAAGTACCTCATGATCGTCGAGGCCGTCGGCTCTGGTGGCCGCTACTTCCGCTCTTTCACTGCCTCCAGCCTCGGCGGCAGCTGGACCCCCAACGCTGCTACCGAGCAGAACCCCTTCGCCGGCAAGGCCAACAGCGGTGCCACCTGGACCAACGACATCTCCCACGGAGACTTGGTCAAGGTCACCAACGACGAGACCATGACCGTCGACCCTTGCAACCTGCAGCTGTTGTACCAGGGCCGCAACCCCAACGCCGGTGGCGACTACGACCGTCTCCCCTACAGGCCCGGTCTCCTTACCCTCAAGAAGTAGAGGGCGACTACTTTGGCTTGTTAAAAAGTCTTTCATTGTACATACATTTTTGAGCTGGAGAGTTGTATATAGTCTGGCTGTTGATTTCGCTTCTTTCCTTTAGCCCTGAGGGCCACCTTTTGAACAAATGAATTCATGGGTATCGTAAGATGCCTAGTTCTACACATGATCCTCTTCCAACTATTGCTATGTGAAACATGATTTGATCGCTCGTCTTGCTAGGAAGAGACCTCTGCTAAACTCCTCCTTGCGCTTCTGGTCTTTGAATATCTCTTCTCTGCAGACTTCAAGCCCTTTTCTCTCTCTGACCGCGATCTCTTGAAGTACACGTCGACTTTGCTCATCCAAGAACGTATTGTCTCCCTGCCATCTAGCCAGCGCTTCATGCATCTCCATGAATGCCCAAGCCATACCAACTAGCACATCCCGGTGTGTCAGCCATCGCATGCCCATCCAAACCATCCACTGTGAAAACGACACAATCTCATCACTACCCAAAGCAACACCCTCTTTCAAGCTGACAGGTACATGCAGACCTTCCCTGCGGCACATGCGCAAGCCAAGTTCCACAAGACCGACAGCGTGACCGTCGTCGGTCCGATGAACTTCGTCCATGCCGGCGACACCAGGACCTTCCGCACTGAACCCGGTCTGTGCGCGAAGTACGCGTACGATGGCGGAGCCGAACATGTCAGCAGCGCGGACGGGTAGCGCGGGTAGTGCTTCAAGTAGAGTGGGTGAGGTAAGCCATAATGGGAGGAGATTGCTGAGATTCAGGTTGCTGAAATCGAGAATGAGGGATTCGTCGATGCTCAGATTGCTGATGTCAGAGGTCGTGAACGAAGTAATTGGTTCTGGTGTCGCGAGGACGGGGTAGTTGGTAAGGATGTTCAAGTCCTGGGTCACGGCTTCTACCGGGGGACTAGAAGATTGTCCCGTGAAGTCAAAGTACACGCTTGGATCAGACTGTGGACACTGAACGGGCGAGCCAAGTTCGTCGATCCAGGCTTTCACGACTTCCACCTCCTTCTCAGTAAAACTTCCAAACATCTTGCCTTCCCATGATAACTCCTTGACCAGTCGGCTCTTTTCACTGTCGCCCTTTATAACCCAAGGTTTGCAGTTACTCAGATCATGTAGGAATTCTTTCTGCCACTGAGCGTCTTTGAAAGCATTTGGCTCTAGCCAGTCCACCAAAGAACGGCGGCCAATTTTCAGGCGACTGTTACAGTGGATTTTATGAGCAACGAAGCTCTTTGCAGCGAATATGTCGATCAAAGCCGCCTCTGTGCCGGTACGAGGAAAGGGCTCTTCGGCCTGGACCTTGAGCGATGGACTTTCGGGAGTCGTAGGTAAGCCCTCAGCGAGGATGTAGCCAGCTTGTACGCGTTTCCACGCGATAAGCGCGGCTTTCTCCCCTTCTTGCTCTGCAACCAATTCGATGTAGTTGGTCACTGCAGCCATTGCCATCGCAGCGTGGCCCGAATCGGCATTATCGATGGAAATATGAAGCTCGAAGTAGTAGGGGTTTAGTCGAAGTTCACGAAGTTCCTTGACGGTCTTCAGCAAGTGGAGCGGCAGACTCTCGTACGCCATGTTGAAGCCCAAAGCCTCTGGAAAGAATTCGTGGGGGAACAAGGAGATGGTGAGCTGAGCCATGGCGGCTTTCCAGCAGCGCGCTTCAGTCAGATCGTGACGGGGGTGAATAAAGTCTTCCGAATCGGCAGCCGGAAGCCCAGCTTCGATGTCCTCCATCAGTTCTCGATACACATGGACATGATTCTTTGCGAGATCGCCGTCTCCAAGCTCTTCGGACATGACTTGCCAGGCATTCTTGGTGATTTGACGGTACTTGAAGGGCGTGCTAACCTTGTTGATGTGTCCGAGCCATGCGCCATCGACGTACTTGACTGGTGCTGCTTGCTTGAGCCACCATTTGGCTTCTTCCTTGTCACTAAACATCTCGCGGGATCCACCGGCTCTGCGACGCGTAAGGTACTCTTCCCAGCGGTTGGTGACGTCGACGTCCTTGGCTTTGAGGAACTCATCTAGTCCATCGCGCGAGAACCCTGCGACGGCTAGGATCCCGCTGTGGGCTTCCTTAGCTGCATCGGCGATTGTTGAGGAGAGAAGACCAAGGAGAAGCTCGCGACACTCTGGTAGGATTTCGGGGTGGTGTTCGAGATGATGGAGTTTGTAGTAGAGCTGCTTGTATATCTCCAGTTCGGGGTCGATTGAATGATTCGTCTGAATGACGGGAGATGTCTCCAAAGTCCCGTCATCCACTGGTGGTTTGGCATCGTTGGTAGCGGGTATGGTTGGGCTGCCTGGAGTTTCAAGATCCTTTCTTCTTGACCGTCCTTTCGCAAGACGATTTCGAATCTCATTGTAGGCAATGACTGCAAGAAATGCAATGAGTACAGCTGTAGTAGTCTGTAGAATAAACATTATAAGTAATCTATCGTAATGTGCAGGCAGGAGTTTAGTGTAAATAGTAATCTATTCTTCTAGCTATAAAGTAGCACATAGGTTTTAACTATTACTAGTGCACCTATAGCAAAGCATGCGCCTCTACGCAAACACGCATAGTAGATTATACTAACAATAAATACTACGTAGCAGTGTCTTTTAAGATGTCTATTAAAATAGAATAAGATAAAAATTAATTAAATACTAAAAGTAGGTAGTAAAGCTACTCTTATATACTAGCTACTAAGAAGGCTAGAAACTAGCTACTTAAATATTTAAATTCTAACACTTTCTCTTAAAATTTAATAATCTTATACTACTATTAAGGCTAAGTAGCCTTATTAAACTCTTTAAACTTTATAGAAAAAAGAGAAAAAAGTACTACTTATTACTCTAAGTTTAGCTAAAACTTCTCTATTTTTTTAGTCTAAGAGCTACTCTAAAGCGCTTAAAGGTAACTTACTATAAAAGCTTTATAAGCTTATTAGCTACCTAATTAGCTATTAGAATATACTCTAGCGTAATTATACTAGCTATTAGATTCTAGCTCTAAAAAGTTTAAGCTAACTTAGTACTAGCTATAAATATCTTAGAATTACTATTATAGCTTAGTAGTAATTTATCTTTAGTCTTTTTAAAATAATATATCTAATTATAGTTTAATATTATATATTTAGTATTTAACTAACTCTATTATTTAATATTTAAATTACTTTACTTTATAATACTTTTATATATACTATTTAGATATAATAAACTTTAAAGTAAGTTTTTTTAGTATAATATAATATAGTAGTAAGTAAGCTATACTATTCTTACGCGTAATAAATAATAACTAAAAAAAATTAGCTTTTATATCTCTAGAAGTAGTAATACTACTTACTAAGAAACTTATAGACTTATTAAAAGCCTCTTTAAGTATTACTAACTTAGTCTTAATTATTAAAAATAGTAATATACTATTAGAGCTTATTTTAGAGCTAACTAGGCTTTTATAAGCTACTACTACTAATAGTAAAAATAAATAAACTACTTTAACTTATAAACTTAAAAAGTTATATAAGTAGAAATAATTAAAGTATACTTATTAAGATATAGCTTATTTTAAAGAATTAAAGTATAAAATACTTATAAATAACTACTTAGCTCTTAAAGTAAATATTATTTACTATACTTTAACTATAAAAAATAAGTTTTAGTTAAATTTAAAAGCTTTATACTCTAAAGACTTAAAGATATTTACTATATATAACTACTTATAGTATAACTACTAGATATATAATTATAAAACTATCTTTAAAGAAGTACTTTCTACTTTTTTAATAAGTACTTAAAAAGTAAACTTTACTATAAAATTTCTTAATAAAACTACTTACTTTACTTAAAATATTTACTTCTAAAACTATATAAGGCTTAAGGTATTTTAAATACTTACTTAGAAGAAACTTAAAGTAGTTATACTTAATATACTTAGTTCTAAGTTATTATAGTACTTTATAGTTTATAATAGACTTAAGTAGACTAAATAAAAGCTAAATTAGAATTTTAACTTTTTTTTAGTTTATCTTAATACGCTTTAAAGTAAACTAAGTAACTATCTAAAAGAGTAGCGCTATATAAACTTTATAAGTACTTTTCTTTTTAATATTTAGAAAAAACTTTTACTTTAAAACTAAAAAGACTATAATATAGTTTTTAAGCTTAATATTTTAGCTTACTACTATTAAAGTAAAATAAAGCGTACTACTATACTTTCTAAGTATCTAGCTTATAAAAAAAAGTTTTATAGCTATTAAACTTAGAACTTTTTTTTAAAGTTTTCTTAGACTTAGAAAAAAGCTAAGAAGTTTAGTTTAGTAAAACTTAACTTATAACTAGCTAAATTAAACTAAAATAGTTTAAAAAACTCTAGTATAGTTTATTAAAAGTATAATAAAACTAAATACTTTTAAAAAACTATTTAAAGTTTAAAAAAAACTCTAAAAGCTTATCTAGTTAGAGATTAAAAAAAAATAGTAAATAAAAAAGCTAAAGTTTTTCTTAGCTACTTATATTACTCTAAACTTAGTATTCTAGAACTTAAAACTTCTTTATAACGTACTTTACTTTAAGCTAGTAAAGCTACTAATAGTAAAGGTATTACTTAGCTAATTAGAGCTTATTAAGGCTTTAGTAAATAGAAGTTTTTAGTTAAACTTTATTTTAGCGTTACTTACTATAGAGTAAAACTTACTAGTTTACTTTCTATCTAAGCTATTAGTAAATAAAGTAAATAGTAAAGAATTAAAAATTTATAGTACTACTATAGTAACTATAAAAGTAGTAGATTCTTATAGAAAATAAAAGACTTAGAATATTCTATATATTATTATAAAAGTCTATAAGTATTAGATATACTTAGGTCTACTTTAGATAGATATATATTACTTAAAAATTAGCTACTTTATATAAAAGCTACTCTTTTAAAGTACTAAGTTTAAGAATAAAACTATTTATAGAAAGATTATACTAAAAAAAGTTAAAAAGTATAA